TCACACCACTTAGGGACCTCTTTATATGCTTTTAAAATTAACCATATACATCTTTATATTTATTTGTATATATGTGTATGCATATATGCATATATATACACATACACACATATATAAACTTAAAAGCAGTAGATATAAGAGTGAAAGAGACTGATGTACTAAAAATACGAAACTTTGTATATCTCATTAAAAATCCAATCATAACCAACTACAGGGAGTGAATATCTTTTAGCCATGTGAGAAACAGTGAGTATTATTTTTGATATATAAATAATTCTTTGCATATTATTAAGATGAAACAAATGTTCCAGATATCATATCTCATATGATATTCATCTGAAAAAAATTCACAAAATGTAAGCCTGGTTAATATTTGCGGGAATATAATTAAAATAGTATTGCAGTGCCACTTACTTGACCTATTAAATTGGCCAGTTCTGTAAAAATGATAATGCTTACTAGTGCCAAGTCTGTGGAAAGAGCCGAGCGGTCTCTTCTGGCAGGAGTGTACGTTGTTGGAATCTTCCTGGAAGCAGTTGGCAGTCTATCAGGAAACATGACAAAGTTCACATCTTTTGCTGCACAGTAAAATGTTATTCTAAGAATATTGCATTCCCAGTGTTTGTGCAAACATATTTAAATAAAAATTACTATTCTTAATACAAAGGCTTATCCTTACGGTAGTATTGGTGAAAAGACAACCCGAACCAGTAGCTGTGACATCCAGTCCTGCTCCTGGCTGCCCTGTGGGCATCCAGTGGTGCTGAGCTCTGGAGGGTTTTCAGGGGCTGGTTTGCCAGTACCTCACTAGAACTTCCTTCCTAGAGGCCTCTGGGTGGAGTGAACCAGCAGCTGCTTGGTTAGCAGTGGGTACATTAACTGTTTCCTGGAAGTGCTAATTACCACTTCTTTTTTAAAAAAAAAAAATTCCAGTTAACATAGAGGAAAGTAAAACCAGTAATAATATACATATAGGCCATATTTAATATAGGGAGCTCTAGTAGTAATCATGCCTTTACAGTGATAGTGCTTCAGCAGTTCTCTGAAAGATCAGGGGAGCCTGGTAAGATGCTGAGGGGATTCGAGGACAGTGACTTTGAATTTATTCTCCAGTTCCTGAAAATCCCTGCTGTGTTTTCCTCCCCCTGGAGAGTGAAGAACGGAAAGCACCAAACTCTCTTATCTCCATCTAAGCAAGCAAGGCCAGGAGTGACACTGACAACATAAAGGCAAGTGGTTCAAATCCACCAGCTTCTTTATGAGAGAAAAGATGGACAGTGTCCTCCTGTGTGGATTTACAGCCTTTGAAAACCTCTGCAGGGTCAACTATGAGTCATTTCTGACTCAGTGACATATAACAACAACATATATAGGGAACTCTGGTGGCCTATTAGGTAAGGAATTTTGCTGCAACCCAAAGCTAGGTGGTTTGAATCTATTAGTTGAGAAGGATGAGGATATGTTCCCGTGCAATTTACAGTCTCTGAAAACCCACTGGAGGGTCAGCTGTGAGTTGATTTTGACTCAACATCATTTAACAACAGCAACAACATATATAAATTACTCCGATGGGCTAGAGGCAAGAAGGTGCCACAATCCTGAAGGCATGTGGTTCAAGGCCACCAGCTGCTTCATGAGAGAAAGTTGGGTAGTCTCCTCCTGTGCAATTGACTGCCTCTGAAAACCTGCCAGAGGAACAACTGTGGGTTGGTTTCAGCTCTGTGGTACACAACAACAACAAATTAAAATGGATATTTATTAAAAAAAATTATTGAAAACTACATAAGGGGAAACCAAGTTAACAGTAGTTAATTTAACTATAGGCTAGTGGTGTGTTTTCTGTTGTATTTTCTTATTTGTGGCAATAGCTTTGAATTTATATTTTTCATTGTTGTCATATACAAAGATATTTTACATAACAATTATTCATGGTAAACCTTCAAATTCAGTTTCCTGTTTTGCCAGTTGCATCATTATTTTCACTCAAGCAGTTTGTAACCGGTATCAGTTATCTGAAGTGTTTACTGAAATATGCCTCCGTAACTTGAATCATGATAGAATTAAAGCTCCCTTCTCTTACTGTATTGTATGTTTGACCACAGTTCTTAAACAGGTAGGTGCAACTTGGAAAACAATCAGAAAGCTGTTAAATTCAAAAGATGTATTCGTACTGTGAAAATATATTAAAATTCCAGGTGCATTTGACAGTGACAAGAGCTTAGAAAGGGCAATTTTGTGGGACGTGTAATTGCTCTGCCTCATGATTGATATCGTGGGGACCATGACCGCTTTGCTCAGTCTGATAGTGTAGATTTCCAGTTCCCTCGGAATCTGCCTTCTGACTGTAGTTTTGTTGAGTGTGACCGCCTTACACATCTGATTCTTGTCTCTCTGCCATGTGTCACACGATTTTGGTGGTATCAGTATTTTGTTCTGTGAATATAATTTCCCATGATCTTGGGTTCTTTTGGAGCCTGTGTGGTGCTGTGGTTAAAGTGTTTGCCTGCCAACCCACAGGCCAGTGATACAAACCCACCTGCTGCTTCTCAGAGGAAAGGTGGTGTGGCAGTCTGCTTCCACAATGATTTTACAGCCTTCGAAACACTATGGGGCAGTTCGGCGACTGTGAGTTGGAACCAACTCAGCAGCAGTGGGCTTGGTTTTGTTGTAGGTTTTTGCTTTAACTTTGTTCCCATACCTAATTTAGTGAAGCTGCCTCACGCACAGAAATCTCTCCTGTTCCCCTTTCTCTGTCCTGCAGACACTGAGGGTGCCTTCTGCCGTAGGTGTCCTCATCATCTCCTCCCCATCTCTCATCCACTTCATGATGTAATTCTTGGCACTTGTACTTCCTTTGTAGAGTAGGAAGTGATGTTGTAGAGAAGGGGCCAGGGCTATCCCAGTTCTCTCAGTTGCTGAGACGAGATCTCCAGGTGTGCTGAGGGGCTTATACTCGGGAAGAAGCGGGGAGTCCTTCACCCTGAGTAACCTCGCTTTCAAGTGCACCCAAACAACCATCCAAACATTGTCCAGTATACTGGAGTTCCCTTCTCTGCCCTTCCTGGATTTCATCAGCTGACCCCTTGGGCATTCCCACTTCAGCTCAGTGTTCCTCCTTTCTCTCCGTCTGTTTTCCCTCTTTTGAGCCTGTGCCTCTCTGCTTCAGTCCCTCTTTCCTTGCTTGCTTCCTGGTGTATGTCTGTGTCAGTTGGCCTTCTGCTCATATCTTGTGTCAGAGGTCATGCGTGTTGGAGGCCAGCACTGCCTCTCATTTGGGGCGATACTGACTCCGATCTGCAGTTCATGTGACCATAGCATCATCACCTTCCATCGACATTGTTCTGATTGCAGTTCTTACTTCAGAAGTTCTGTCTGGTGCCTTGTTTCCATATCTGTCTCTTCTGCTCTGATCCAGTCTTTCCCCTCTTTCTGCTCTGTGATGCAGTTTCCTTATTGCTTCTTTCCTCCTCTCTATCCAATAATTTTGCTATTCTTTCCTCTTCCTTAGACAGGTATGCCTGTGTGTGTTTATCGTTCTCCTCTTTCCCAGGTTTTAGTTCAGCTCTCCAGAGCTCGATGGTTAGGGCCAGTTCCCTTCTTTCCAACGGATGAAATGTTGGCTGATCTTTTTAGTGTAGCTTTTATTTTTGGATTCTTGAAAGAACTAGCCAAATACAACTAATGGGTGATCAGGATTGGTTGGGAAAAAAGACGGAGAAATTTCTTGGGGCCCACAAGGAAAAAACAAGCAAGCTCTCTGTTAGCCAGGAGGGATGGACTGTAGGTAACCCAGTGGACGTCCTCAATAGGAAGAGCCTGTGCTGCTGAAGTCGTTGAACTTTGGCCAGTGAACGGTCCCAGAGCTATTATGAACATGTTTGGAAGCATGTTTAACCTTGAGGATGGCCTTTCTTCATTCTTTATAATGATGGCCCTTATTGAATCTCTCTACACCCTTTATATCATATGGGGCCATGACTTTTGCATGAATCATCTGTCCACCCTCCCTTAGGTAAGTGCCTTCTCCCCTTGGAGAGGCCATTGTGAGGGTGTGAAGAGTTGGTTCTTGTACTCACATGTGGTCCCTCTACTTCATGTCGGTGAGGATTGTAGGACCTGCTGCTTACTGCTATCACTGAATGTCCTCGAGTCCCTAGATAAATGAAGGCTGATGGGCTGATACCTCTGAATTGTCCACTCTATGCCATGTGTTGCCCCCTAACCTTACTTTTAAAAGACATCTCCTTCCTGGAAAAAAAAATTAAGGTGAAAGAGAAAAGAAGGAAATGGGAAATTGGTTCATAAAACTTAAAACAAAAGTGAGATGAACTGAATGGGAAGAGGAAGTGTCTTACTTGAGTATTTATTTGGAAAGGCAAAGGAAAGGAAACTGAACTGAACTGGAAAATATGCTGGAATTAGACACATGGGCTTCTGTGTGCTCCTTTCAATATTTTAGCCATTTCTTTCCCCCTTCATCTCTCTCTATATTTTTAAATATATATAAAGCTGATCATCGTATGAATCTTGGGAGGTTGTTTCTGACTCATTTTTTTCCTGTCAAGGGATAGTCTTCAAGTTCCATGTTTCCTAGTTTCTAGGAAATGTTGGAAACATTTTAACAATCAGAAAACATATCCACCAAAACAATATTTTTCTTAAATAAAAGAAATGAACATTCCTGTGTATACTTGATTTCTTTAGGTTTTACGTTTCCTTTTTTTTTCTTTTTGCACGCGCGTCTGTGTGTATGTATCTGTATTGCCTTTGTGATATTTTTGAAGAATGGCCCGAACGTGGTGCAGATGTTGCCATCAATGTCTAGAAAACTTTTTCAGCCTTAACTTTGGATACCTGAGCTGTGCAGTGGGACCTCATTTTGACAGACTAGCCCCTTCCATTTAAACTTTTTAAAACATAGCATTGCATGATTCATGTGTTTTCATTCTGTATGGTTTCAGGTAGTAATCTAGGAATATTATGATTATTTTTAGGCACTAGAAAAACACCCCAACTCACCAATGACAGCAAAGCAGATATTGGAAGTGATTCAGAAAGAAGGATTAAAGGAAACAAGGTGAGTATCTGTGTTTAACAATTTGTATGCTTTCATCAGTTAATTATTGCTGCAAGTTGCAAAACTCGAGATCTATCTAGATTTTGATAATGCAGTGGATTGTGTACTGAGTAATTACTTGAACATTTTTTGTGATTATCAAAGATCTGGATGACCCAGGATTTCCCTGGCACTGCCTGTTAGATTAATAAATTACATTAGATGATTGATAGAAAAAGCTCTTGGTTAACAGAGAGCAGCACTGTATGGCTTAGCCCCTCCTTGGAGTTATTCCTATTTCTCTTTCTCATAAGAGAAGATTGTGTTTCTGGAAATGAACAATGAAAGAGAAGCACTTTTACAAGCCCACTAGATAGATCATAGGGTATAAAATGAACTCACGCTGATAAAATTCAGAGTGCAGTGAAGGCAGTTGAACATTTAGTCCATTTAGATTTAGAATGCCTCTGTTTAAAGTATTATTTTTCAGGTCTTAATTCTTGGTCTTTTTTTCTTAAAGATAGCTTTATTGTACGATGATTCGCATAACATACAAGTCACCCTTTCAAACTATACAATTCAGTGGTTTGTAGTTAATTCTCAGTATTGCGCAGTCATCATGGCAATGGAAGTTTAAAATATTCCATTACTCTTGCCCTTCAAAGTTAATCTCATCCTCCTCTAGTCTCCCTGGCAAGCAGTTGTCTATTTCTATCCCTGTGGGTGTGCCTCTTCATATGTTATTTGTGTTAGGTGCAGTCTAGTCCACTATGACTCATGGTGACCCTTTAAATAACATATTGAAATTGTACTTTGCTCAGAGCCACCCTTGCAGTCTACTCCGTGGTCAAGTCCAATGCTGTATGCAGTGTATCAGTCCGTCTTCTTGAGGATCTTCCTCTCTCTCGGCGTCATGTCTTTTTCCAAGGACTAGTCCCTCCAGACAACATATCCAAAGTAAATAAGACTTAAGTTTTACTGTTCTTGCCTCCAAAAAAGTACCCTGGTTACACATCCTTCCAGACAAATTTGTTAGGTTTTGTATATGACATATTCTGCTTTGCTCCAGCAGTAACACAATTCAAAGGCATGACGTTGTCTTTAATCTTCTCCGTTAATTAATGTGTCTGAAGCCATTGTGAATACCAGGGCTTGGATCAGGTGTGTCTTAGTCTTTAAACTGACATTCTTGCTGTTTAAAACCTTTAAAGAGTTCTTGAGAGTAGATTTGACCAATTCCTCCCTGTTCATATAAACAGAATCATATACATGATCTTCTTTGACTGATTTTCTTTAACATATATGTTTTTTTTCATGATTTTTTCCACTATGCAGCATGCATCAGAACTTTATTCTTTATAGACAATATTCCAATATATGAATACACCTAAGTTTATCTATCCATGATAATCTTTTTTTTCATGATAATCTTTTATATTCTTTTATAGTTTCATCTATAGCCAGTAAAATAGACAGTATGGATGGTATTCTATTATGTTTAAAAAATAAAGAAGATAAATACCTTACTGTTGTCACGTATATATGTTGTTGTTGTGTACCGTGGCCCTCCAGCAGATTTTCAGAGGCAGTTAAAATATATATAGCTCTCGTGGCCTAGTGACAAGAAGCTACACTGAAATCCCAGAGGCACATGGTTCAAATCCCACTAACTTGAGGGAGGAGGATGGGCAACGTCTTTCTGGGCAGTTAACAGCTTCTGAAAATCCTTGCAACATGCCCAAATTATGTCAGATGGAGCTTCAAAATCCTTGCCTCCAAGGAGCAGCCTGGCTTCACTCTCTCCAGGACGAACTTGTTTGTTCTCCTAGCAGTCCGTGGTCTACTCAGTACTCTTCTCCAGCACCACAGCTCAAAGGCATCAATTCTCCTTCTATCATCCCTAGTCATTGTCCAGCTCTCTGATGCAAAGCACGTAATTGTGAAAACCATGGCCTGGATCAGGCGCACCTTAGTTTTCATGCTGACGTCGTTGTTATAAAATCAGCATGAGATTTATATACTTGCGATCTGGTGATCTTATAATAGTTGGAAGTTGCTAGAAAGCCAAGCTAACTGTAATCAGTTTCACTGAACTCCTTTGTCTCATACAGAGAATCGAATGTGCTTCTGAGGCTGAATTTTCCTGTAAACCAATATCATCTTTATACCTGTAACTCCTGTGCATGGGTAGCATTGATTTCTCATTGTTTAAAATGTACATTTTGAAGTTCAATTTCGGAATGTCTAGAGGCTTTTCAGAAGGATCTCCTCCCATGAGATTTTGCCCCTGAAGCCCTATAGTGGGTCAGCTGGGAGTTGGCTCTGATGCCAGGGAGTTTGAACTTCCACGTCTGAGTGCATCTAGTAAGTCACAGGGCACGTGTACACCAATTTCTATCTCTATTCTGAAGACTCTTTCCCCTGCTGCCCAACCTAGAGAAGTAATTTGAGCTCATATGTCTATTCTGTGTTTGTGATAATTGGTCCCCCATGGATTGGAGGGAAGGGCAGGGAGGGCAGACGTGGGCAGTACCTGATAGTACCAGTCAAGATCTTTTTCTTCTAAGCCAGATACCAGTGTGGGATTACGGGACAAAATAGGGAGACATGGGAATTAATTGTATCCTTGTCACTTGCCAGAAACCCTAAAATATTTATTCCAGTTAGAAGGCATTGGAAATGTTTGCATTATGGCCAAAAGGAGGGGGGAAAGGTAATCTAAGGATACCTACAGATATCAATTCCTGTCAAGCATGGGCTTGGTGCCAGGAGAATCTGCCAGCGCACACATAAAAAAACATCTTTTCTAAGCAGACATTTGAAATTTGTTCATTAAGCTCTTCTCCCAAGGAGTGACTGTGCTGCTTTCACTGGTTACAGACCATGAGATATGAAATTCCTGCACCGTGACACTGAACAGCATTTTAATTACACTTATTACTATAGCAGCATTATTTCATACTTACCCCCCCACCCCTCAGAATGCTGGTCTCTCTAGAATGAGGCATTAAAGGTCTTCATGCACACATGCTTAACAAAGAACACAAAACCAAAATAACCTGTTTCTTTAAAGAGTCAATATAAAGAACACTGAAGTAGGAAATATAACCTTCTATTCATCTAAATAGGAGCCTGAATGATGTTTAGATGAAGTGGTTTTGGTGCAGATGGTTTATATTAGGGTCTGCGCTGCCAACCTGAAGGCGTGCAATTTGAATCCACCTGCTCTGTGGGAGAAAGGTGCTCAGTCTCCTCTCATGTAATTATACTACCTCTGTCAGCCTGCTGGAGGGTCAGCTATGAGTTGGTTCCAACTCGAGGGTGCATATAAACAATAATAATAGTACTATAATACAAGGACCTTTCCAAAGTTCTGAAGAGCAGTGGTGTCTCTCTGGAGACTAAGGTGAATCTGATACAGGCCTTGGTCTTTGCAATCACTTGTTACGCATCAGAGAGTTGGACAATGATTAGGGAGGATAGAAAGAGAATTGATGTCTTTGAGCTGTGGTGCTGGAGTAAAGTATTGAGTGTACCAAGGACTGCTAGGAAAACAAACAGATTCATCCTGGAGAGGGTTAAACTAGGTGGCTCTTTGGATGCAAGGATTCTAAGGCTTCATCTAACATACTTTGGACATGTTGTAAGAAGAGACCAGTCCTTCGAGAAGGACATCATACTTGGGAGGATGGAGGGACAGCACAGGAGAGGAAGGACCTCTGTGAGGTGGATTGATTCAGTGACTGGTAATCTGGATGGGTGTGTTGGAGACAGTACAGTTGGCACAGGACAGAGCAGAGTTTAGGGCTGTTGTACATAGGGTCACTCTGAGTCACAACCGACCCACCGGCACATAACAACAGCAGCATGATAGAAGGACATGACAGTTTGCTTCTATGAATATTAAAACCAAGAGAACTGTAAAAAGAAGAAAAAAATGGTGGATGGTATGAAAGGAGCTGAGTCTGACTTCTGTTACTTTCATCACTGGGAACAGACCCCCTTCACAACATTCACAGCACAAAAGTGGTTCGCTTAAAAAAAAAAGTGATTCCCATGAATCAGTTCAGTCCTGACACTCTTTTACATTCTTCTACTAATTCAACACCAACCACTCCTTCACAGGGCTCCCAATGAAAGAGTTTTTCTTTTGCTTTTCAAGGAGAAGAGTGAATTGGGGAGGAGGGGTGGGCAGGGAGAAAAGTAAAACAATGAATGACTGGAAACCCTAAGTATCTGTAAACTTTAATTAAAATTAATAAAATAAAAGTGATTCCCATGAATCAGTTCAGTCCCCACACTCCTTTACCTTCTCCTATAATTCAACACCAATCATCCCCTCCCAGGGCTCCCTCTGATCCGCTGGGACTGCTAATCCATTGCAGTCATCACACAGAACTAAAAAAACCCATAATAATGATTATGGGATTCATTAGAGAAATTAACAGATTCTAATTTAAGTTGGAAATAGGATAGAGTTCTTCCATTAAGGCAGCTTCTCAAGTGTGCTCACGGGCCCTTACACCTTCAGCCTTGTGACTCTTGGATAGTGTTGCAAAACTCTTTTGGTGCAGCCAATGATGTTGTTTACTCATCTTTTGCCCCATTTTGCCCCAGTCCTCTGGCACGCGTGGGCAGAGTCCCTGGGCTCTGGTTCTATGGGGTAGCTGTCCCAGGTCAACTCTGCCTGACATCAGTCTCTGGATCCCCACTGTTGCTGTTGCTCTGGTCTAGGTCCAGATGTTTGTCAAAGATGTGTCCTAGCTCTGTATCTTTTCAGTATATATGCAGGACATTATCTGGGAGGCTGGGCTCTTTGAGGAGAAGTGTGGCATCAGGATTGAAGGTAGACTTATCAACAATCTGCATTATGCAGATGCCAAAACCCTGCTTGCTGAAACTAAGGAGGACCTGAAGCACTTGCTGCAGAAGACCAAGGACTGCAGCCCTCAATATGGATTGAAGTTCAATAGAAAAAAAAAAGAACAAAGATTCTCGCCACTGGGCCAATTGGCAGCATC